GAGCCCCGTGTCTGTGTCACACACACAAACAAACAGGAGCCATCAGTCTCTGTCAGGGGGAAGAGGGGCCAGTGGCACCCTGGGCTTGCTGCCCTGGTCACCCAGCCCCTTTCCCACAGTTAACTTCCTTGGTTCCTGCTTTTCTCCAGGTCGGCCAGCGAGTCCACAATCTCTGCAAAACACAAGCATGGCATTAACTAACATTTGTGGTGGGCTTGTTTGGGTTTTTTTAACAGATGAGAAGATGGCTTTCCCTCACTGATGAGGATCAGGACATGGAGTCAGCCTCTGCTGGGGCCAGCACAAAGGGTGAGCAGGGACAGCCTGAGCAGACAGCCCAGCCCAAGGACAAGTAGCTGTGTCTGTGGAAACACCCTTGTGAACAGCTGCAATAAACTGTCCTCCCAGCCCAGCACCACACAGTGGTAGGTGTTGGATTAGGGTCATATTAGGGTAATAAAGCCATCCTGTTTCCTCCATGTGACTTTGTCAACATCCCTAATGATATTTTGGTATTTTCTCTTCAGACAGGGCTATTCCCTGTGCCAGGGAAGTGCTTGTGGGAAATGGAAGCACACAGATGGGACACTCAGTGGTTTCTTGGGCACGTTTCCCACATCTCTTGTATGGATCTGGTCCTGTAGGATGGAGTGGATGAAACTGAAGGAAGTTTTCTCCCCTTAGACAGATGAACCAAGGGAAGGATATGAGCTCTGTGACTTCAAACACACCAGAAATATTCCTCTGTAATTTCCTGATGTTGCTGTTGTATCTCCTGCTGGAGACCAGTTATTTGTCTGATCAGACACAAATCAGCTTCAGAGACAGTGAAAACTTCCCTGCAATTGAGCAATGCCTAAGACTGCAATTTACAGCTAAAGCCCAAGGCAGGAAATGTTCCTGCAGTGTTGTGGCTGCTCCTCCAGCTTATGGGATCTGCAGGACCTGAGTAGGGATTAACTCCTCTCTTCCTGCCCCTGCTTGTCTGATAGAAAAAGCTCCTTTTATGTGACACCACATGCACAAGCAGCCTGGAGATTATTGTCATGGCATGGGTAAATAATGTCAATGTGTGAGGTCTGGAACTGGGGGACTTGTTGGCACAAAAAGGAAGGTCAAGGCAGGATCCCAAAACACAAAGCCAAGCAAATTCTTTGGGAAATGAGGGGCAAACAACCTGCTGAAGCAGCTGATGAGGGATGCAAAGGCCTGTGCAGCAGGTGTATGGGACACTCACCCTCGGCAGAAGGACGCTGGGAAGGGTCACAGGCCTGGCACTGCTCAATGATTTTCCTCAGATCTTCAGGACAATCTTCCCCAAGAGGGTCCCAGTACTGGTGATTGCAGATTTTCTCCACGATCTCCCCAGGAGTGCAGCCTAGACAAGAAATGCCAACAGGAGCGTCAGGATGGAGCTCTGCTGCCACAGGAGGGTGCTGGGGAGGGAACCCAGCACACAGCCCTGCCAAGAGCCTGCCTGCAGCCTGTGGCAGGGAGAAGCCAGCAGGGAGGTGACCCAAACTCCATCTGCAATGAATCCCACTGCATTTGGCGTGACACTGTTGGGCTTCACTAGAGCAAGATGTGTTTATGCTTAACTGCCCATGACCATCCAATAGAAACAAAAATTATTTGCATGTTTGTGGTTTAGGCAGGTTGCTTTACTACAATACTTTACTATATTGGAGTTTCAGGAGAAGCTGTCAGGCACACCAGGAGCTGGCACCTGGCAGGGATGCTCAGGGAAGGAGCAGGGAGCACCCAGTGCCAGGCAGGAACCACACTGTGCCGTGAGGCTTTCATGCAGGGAACCAGATACTCCTGTCTCACCTTCAAATGGGATTTTGGAGGTTGCAATCTCTGCCAGAACGATCCCAAAGCTGGAAGGAGACAAGCAAGAGTCTCAGTATTCATTCCACCATGTATTCCTCCCTTCTGGTGGAGAGGGCTGCTGGGCTATGCCAACTGGAAGCATCTGCTGGTGTGTCTGATTAAACCTGGCCTCCTTCCATAGCTCAGCAGCCTCTCTACCAGACACCTGCCTGCTCACAGGCATCTCCTGGGAGGGACAGACACACCTGTATATTTCACAGGGACTCTTGTAAGGGTAGTTGATATCTTTTAGGTTCTCTGGAGCAATGTAGGCCAGCATAGAGACTTGTTTCCAGTCCTTCTTGGCTTTCCTCTTGATGGATGATTCTGTTTCACACAGCTCAAATCCTGACAGCTGATTGAGAGAATGACAGAGAGAAAAGGAGAAGTAGAAACCTGTGGTGCAGCTAGACTGCCCCAAGATGGAGAAAACAGAGAGAGATGCCCTGGGCAGCAAAGGCTGGTGAGCAGCTGTGTGTGCTGCCCTGCACGGGTCTCTTCCTGCAAGCAAAACCAGAGGTGAGGGTTTTAGGAACCCGAGCTGGATGCTTTAGGAACACTCACTTTGCTGATGGTAAGACCATGATAGGGAGGTTTAAGTGCCTAAAGTCATTGGGGAGATGCCACTACCCCATTTTATCCTGGACCATCACAATTCCCTTCAGTGTTAGTGCAGGGAGACATCCACAAAACCATTTAAAACTCCCAAAAGCATCTCCAGGCATGGTGCTTACCTTCACACAGTAATCCCCAGCCACCAGGAACTTGCTGCTGCAGATGCAGCCGTGGAGTCGGGACTTCTCCCCTGTCTGGTGCAACCTGCAGATGGAAGGGACAAAGGACTGCACATGATGATGATGATGATGATGATGATGATGATGATGATGATGATGAAGGACTGACCCATCCCCACCTTGGTGCTCCCCCCTGCTGTGGAGGGAAGGACTGACATGCAGAGAAGACAGCAGCTCTCTGCCTGTCTTGCTGGATCAACCCTGAGCTCCTGTGGGCACAGTACAAACCTTGTGGATGGGCAGGACCTGTAAGGAGAGCTGCCATGCTGCAGGGCACTTCCAAATCTGCCCTGGGGATCTGGGAAAGGGGATTTCCCCCTTCCAGGCCTTTGCAGGCTTGAAGCCAGAGGTGGGGGACAGTGCCCAGGGTAGATGGGAGCTGCTGCATCCAAATCCACCACCTATCCCTACAGCAGCCTCCCATGCCAGGGTCCCAAGGTGGTGTCACTGGGAATCAGTGTCTAACAGGAAACCACAGCTTACTCTGAGGTACCAGGGAGCTGCCCTCAGCTTTCGGGTGATCAGGTGAATTTACTCACTGGTTACACAGGTGCTCACCTGTAAAGGCCTCTGGCAGCCCCCAGGGCCATCCGAATGCGGATGTCCCAGGAAAGGTTCTGCTGCTTGTTCAGCACGTCCCGCAGCGTCCCGTGCTTGCAGTACTCCATGACGATGGAGAAGCAGGGGCTCCCATCTGCAAGGCAAAACCATCCTGCCTTGTGCCACCTCCTGGGAGGGGACCACAGCAAGGCACATGCCACCAGCCAGCACTGGGCATGGCAGGGAGGAAAAGGGTGACATGAGTGTGACACCCCTACCGTTCTCCTCAATGCAGATCCCGTACATGCGAAGGATGTTTGGAGACTCAAACTTCTTCAGGGTCTGAATCTCCTTCTCAAAGATGTCTCTCACCTTGCTGTGGAGATGGACAGTGTGGTGAGGTCCCTGGAACAAGGCATGGCACAGACTGTGCCACCCTCCTGGGGCCACACTCGTTCCCAGCCAGGACAACTCACACTGGGTCAGTGGTCAGCGGCCTCTTGAAGGTTTTGATGGCAACAGGGTACTTGAGGTACTCGCCCTCGTAGAGGTCGTAGCTCTCTGTGTCCTGCAGGTGCCTGTGGAAGGTGAGCTGGTCCCGCTTGATCTCAGTGATGTCTTCTCTTTTGCCAACGTTCACCTTCTTCAAGCCTGCTCCCACCATGTGCCAGAAGGGAACAAGGGACACGTTAGGCAGGGCTTGGGGGGAAAGGACACAGTGCACAGGGTGAGGTGGTGTGACACCGACTTACGCTCCATCTCACGAATGACTTTGTTCAGCTCGCTTTTCATCCAGTCCATTTTGCTCTCCATACACTCCCTGTCGATGTAGACCTCCTCAAGAGCATCTTTGGGCTCCTCGGTACCTAGGGAGAGAAACAAGCAGAGGTTGGCCCACTGGATGAACAAGCATGATTGTGTGGTTTGTTTCTTTCATGGTTTAAATGTCCCTTGGGCTCTTCATGGCCATCAGGTCAGAGCTTGGTAACAGCTGGAGAGAGGGGCAACCACCAGTCACAGGTTAGGAGGGTTTGCTAAATGCACTCACTTGCAATCACCTGGTCCAAGAAAGCTCTGTCATCCCTCAGGTCCTCAGCATCCTGCCTGCGACACGTCTTTGACTGGAAGGCTTCCAGGAAAGCCTGTTTCTGCTCTGCCTGCAGCAGGAGGGAGAGCCCCTGGGCAATGTCCTCCAGGCTTTCGTTCACCCAGACAAACTCCTCGCCAGTGCTTCGGGCTCGCAGGAACTTCTGGATCCAGCTGGTCTGGCTGTATTTCATCACCAGTTTCTGGGCTTCCTCCAGTGCCTGGAGCAGCTTTTTCATCAGTTCCTCTTCGTGGTGGGAGATGTGCTGTCGTGGCTGAGCCCTGAGGATCCTCACGGGCTCCAGCAGGATCTGGATGCGCTCCACGAGGCGCTGGCACTGGTGCTTGCAGCACTTCACCTGCTCGAACTGGGCATGGATGGCCTGGGCCACAGAGAACACCCTCTCCACGATGTCCATGCTTGCAGCAAAGGGCTTGGCCACGGGGGACGGCAGTGGCTGGTGCAGGGAAGCCTCAGGTGCTGCTCAGAGATGCTGCTCTTCCTCACCTTCCACCCTAGGGAACAACACCCTGACATGGCACACATCCTCCCACAGCCCCTCATCTCCTGCTGCTTTGCTTTCCCTGCTTTGCCTCCCACTGCAGTGCCTGTGCAGGCTGGAGCAGGCACACACAGAGACATCAGTAACAGCGGCAGTGGCACATCTTTCTCACAGTAGCAAGAGATGTTTTGGCTTGATTTGCGTACATTGATTTAATGTACAATTAATTAAATGTAATTGTTGCAGACATCTTTTATGGAAAATCCTTTCCTTAGGATTTTTCCTCCTGAGAAGCTGGAGGCCTCAGGAACAAAAGGTAAATAGTGATTATCTGCTGCTGTGGAATGCAACAGGTGCATCTGTGATTGGTCTCATAGTGTTGTTTTTAATTAATGGCCAATCACAGCTGGCTCGGACTCTGTCCGAGACACAAGCCTTTGTTATCATTCTTTCTGATTCTATTCTTAGCTAGCCTTCTGATGAAACCTTTTCTTCTATTCTTTTAGTATAGTTTAATGTAATATATATTATAAAATAATAAATCAAGCCTTCTGAAACATGGGGTCAGATCCTCGTCTCTTCCCCAATCCAAGAACCCCTGTGAACACCATCACATTTAATTAATTAATTAATTAATTAATTAAATGTCTGAGCTAAATCCCAGAGAGCTTCCACCCAGAGGAGCAGGAACACCAGTGACCCAAGGAGCATCCCCTGGGCAGCATTCCTGGCTCCAGCCCTGCATCACCCTGGGTTCCTGCCCGCAGAACCCGTATCTTTGGCTATAAAGATCTGTTTTCATTTCTACCCAATGTCTCTCTCTGTGGTCACCCATCTAATAAAGGTTTGTGCATCTTCACAGCCCCAGCTTCTCCCCATTTTCTCCCCATAGCTCTGTTCTGCCCACCTAAGATTTTAAATCAAGCTCTTTCTGTACGCTCAGCATCCCCTCAAGGAAGGTGCCTGCTCCCCAGCCCACATGCAGGTAGCAAGGACAGAAAACCACCCCTGTTGAAAGGAAATTAGCAGCAGCCCCTTTGACCCAGCCAACGCTAAGAGAGGGGTGCCAGGTTCTCCTGGCTGGAAAGGAGATGGAAACGCACCCAGAATCCAGCAGCAGCCGCTCTCCCGTGCTCTTCAGGCTCTCTCCAGCAGGCCCCAAGGCAGGATCTCCTCTGCTCGCCAGGAGAAGGGAAGGTCGGTGACCTGCCCGTGCCTCCTGACCTCGCTGCCTGCGCAGGCTGGAGGGGCACGGCGGGCCGAGCGCGGCTTTAAAGGGTGTCACAGCGGAAGGCTTTAAAGGGTGTCACAGCGGAAGGGACATTGTGCAAGGCACCTTCCCACGCCAGCACAGCTCCCGCTTCCCAGAAAGCTGCCCGGGGTATTCCCGAGGGCTGAACGCCCTTGTGATGGGTTTTGCCTGGTGGAAGAAGGAATTGCCCACAGGAAGTGCAGTGGGAAAAAGGGGATGGGGAAGTTATTCATGCCTGTGTTGATGCTTCTGCTATTTTGAGCATCACAACCTGTTCTGCTGAGCTGGCAGCTGTGGGAAGGTTTGCCCAGGGCACTGGAACACCCACAGCAAGGGCTCCGTGCCCTGTTGAACCTCCTACATGTGCAGTGACACCCTCCAGACCCTGCTCCTCTCGCCATCCCCGAGCCCCAGGAGCACCAAAGGAGCTGGGCTGTGGGCACCAGGGCTGGAAGCAGGGCTTGACCTCTGCTGGGACTGCAGGAAGTTTTGCAGATGGCTTCGTCAGAGGGCCGGGCTAATTTTGGGAAGCTCTGGGGTTCACGTGACGCTATTGCCCAACTTCAGAGAAGTGAGTGGCAGCTTCTGCTTACCCAGAGCCCCAACGTCACACAGCTCTGCTGAGAATATCCCCTGCAAATCTCCTGCCTCACTGAGGGGAGCCAGGAATGGTGGCTCCAAGGGCCATCAGCACCTGGAAAGGGACACACGAAGGGTGGCAGAACAAAATTGTGAGCAGCCCTGGGGGATACATTTCCCAGACCCTTTTTAGAAAGTTTTATTTTTCAAAATATACAGTTTATTTACAATTGTAGTGTCTACAGTTTTACATATAAATTTATTTCAAACCTTTAAATATCTGCAGTAAACATTAGGGAAAAAAATAATAAAAAATAAAATCACAGGATCAGCAAAAAAGGCATCTCATAGTAATTCTTTTCATCGGAGTTTGAGTTTCAAGTAGCCAATGTCTATGAAAACCATGAACTTGATAAATCTGGCAGAGAGATAGGGTTAGAAAAAGGCACAATCCAGAGCTGTGGGACCTGCCCCAAAAGGGCTGCAGGCCAAGAAAACTCTGTGCTGAGATGGGCTGGGAGAAGGACCTAGGGCAGGGAATCCCCTCGGCATGAGTTAGGCAATAGAGGCAACTGCAGCGTGCTGGGTGCCCTGGGGAGAGGGCAGCCCGGGAGAGACAGAGAGAGAGGGCTCTGGCAAGGTGCCAGGGCAGGGGAGGGAGGGTGGCATCAGGCACTTCATCTTCCAGGCAGCAGATCTGCCCGTGCATCCATAGCCTGGAGCGGGAGGGCAGCGAGGTAGGGCAGGGGTGCACCAGGGGACCCCACAGCCTCTTCCTCCCCTTTCCTCACCATCCTCAGCCCCCCGTCCCCCTGCCAGTGCCACAGCTGGACCACAGCACTCCACAGGGATGCTCCACTTGGAGTCACTCTGTGGCTCAGCCCCCAGGCAGGGGACAGGGCAGGGACACCAGTGCAGGGGCACAGAGCCAGCAGCTGAGCTCTGGGCTGGGGCTGTCAGTCCTCTTTCTTGAAGGTCTCCTCAGGGATGAGTGTCCGGAAAGGATAATCCCAGAAGCGTGTGCTGATGCCAAAACCTGTGGGCAGGGAGGAGAGAGTTCAGCCCACGGCACCACCATCAAGGTGTTGCAAGGGCTCTGTGTTAACTGGTGAGGAAGGAGTGCCCATGTTTTGGGGAGGGAGGAAGGCAAAGTGAAGACGAAGAGGAAGAGCAGAGCAGGAGCTGGCTGGGCCATGCCAACAAGCCCCATGAATGATAGCTTATCTGGATGGGGCGTTTTCTCCTAGGAAACCGGGCAAAGGGCAGGTTGAGCAAGCACTGGGCTAGAGAAAGTGTGGGGCGGATCTGGAGAAGCCCAGGGCCTCACCCTCCACCTGTCAACACCTCCCAGCAGGAAGAGATGCTGCCCTGGGCAGGGATAGGCACCCACATCCAGCACCATGGGGGTTTGCCATTCCAGGCAGCACTGATGCCCACCAGTGAGCCAGCTGCTGCCTTCACCCCTGCTCTGACTCCTCATCCTCACCCTGGGCGCCAGGAAATATTCTCCACGGGCTACAGCACCTCACTGTACAGCACAGTGCTTGGCTTTCCTCATTCCAAATCCCAAATATTTTGGAGCAATCAGCTTCACCCACGCAGCTAGGCTGGATCTTCGACATCCCCTTCCCCTGCCAGCACGCACGGGGAGCGCAGCACTACCTGATTTTTGGTGTTCAAAGTGGTGCTTGACGTGGTAAGCCTTGAGGCCGTACAGGTAGGTGCCCTTTTTGGGGGAGCCATAGTGGAGGTAATAGTGCATCATGTCGTAGATGACGTAGCCGCAGAGGCCCCCGACGAAGACGCAGAGCCCCAGCACCTCGGGCAGCAGCAGCCGCAGCACGCCGTAGAAGAAGCCGATCACCAGCGAGGCCGGCACGGGAGGGAACACCAGGCGGGAGCTGTCGAAGGGAGACTGGAAGCAGAGAGGGATGGTGGGACAGGCAGCTCCCACTCACCCTTCCTCCCTCTGCACATCCCTGCCAAGCATCAGGGAAACCCATCTGGGAGAAGCCAACAGCAAAATCCCTCCCCAGGCTGTACCTGGTGGTGGGAGCAGCCCCCCATGCATGCCAAGGTGCCCAGGCAGGGGGTGGCTTTGTCTGGTAGGTGCCCAAGCTCCCCATTTCCTCCAGCAAAGCTAGAGAGAGCCTATGGCTCTTTTGGTTTTCCCTCTTGCCCAACCACACATCTTGAAAAATTAACTCCAGCTTCTCCAGAGCTGTTTTACAGCCCTTGCTGGTATTGGGCAAGTGCCTCGCTTGGGATGCCACCAGTCACACTGAGCAGGCAGCAACAGGCCCTGTGTGGGCAAAGGGCACACAGTGACAGCTGTGGTGGGGCAAAGGCCACCATTCCCACGGGCCAGGCGGTGCCAGCGGGGGCGGGAGCTGCGACTCACCTTGTGGTGCTGCCCATGCAGCAGGAAATGCAGCGTGATCAGATAGTAATTGCTAGCGGGTGGCTTCATGTGGAACACAAAGCGGTGGATGAGGTACTCTAGCAGGGACCACAGGACCATTCCCAGGAGGAAGATGAAGGGGAAGTAGTATTTGTGGACGGGGATGGAGTACTCTACACAACAAGACATGCAGCGGTCAGCAGGGCAGGTGCAGGTGCTTTTATCCATCACCATCCTCCCACTGGCATCAGGGTGATGCTCAGCTCTCCTTCCCCCCCACCACTCATCCACCTCCTGCCCTGAGCTCCTCTAGGGAGCTAACTGCCCAAGCTCTGCTCTAAACCACATTTTCCATTGATTCCTACTAATTTACAGAATCAGCCAGCTTCTTGCTGCCTCAGGAATACTGAGGGGAGCTCCCTGCATTCCAGATTCCAACGTGGGCTTGGATGTGCACTCTAGGGACTACATCACCATTACACAGCTGCTTCACCCACCAAGAACAAGGCAGGAGGGACCTAAGTTGCACAGGCAGCACTCGTGACAGTAAAACAGTGCTGTTGGTGTTGGTGGTTATTTTTTTTGGGGAAAAAGAAAAGACTTGTTGGGCACTTTCCCCCGCAGAACATTTTTCAGCCACCTCCTTCTTTCAGGGCTGGCTGCCAGCCCTGTGTCCTTCCTAGCAAAATTTGGATTGCCCCAAAACCCACTTATTTTTAGGGAAAAAAATCCCCACAAAACTTGGCAGCAAGGTGCTGGATGCCACAAGGAGCAGGGAGTGCCTGTGCAGCCGGCGCTCCCCACCCCACAGCCGGGCACAGCTGGCACTGGGTGGCACCTTGCAAAAAAAATAGGGAGCCCAGCAAAAAAAGGGAAAAAAAAAAAAAAAAGACAACAAAGAAGACAGCTTGCCCTGGGCACGGTTGTTGTTGCCGGGGGAGCAGGGAGCAGACAGTGGGAGATTCAGGGGCAGGCGCTCGGGGCGAACAAGCCGCGCTCTGTGCGGAGCCGGCGGCGCTCAGAGCCGGGTTTGTTCCCCGGCATTCAGCCCGGCCGGGTGGGCGGCGGCGGCATCGGAACCGCCCCGGCACCCGCAGCGCTGTGGGCACCGAGGGAACGAGGCAGGAGGGAGCAGGTTCAGCCCAGGGGGCTCTGTGCCTCTGCTGATCCCTGGGGGACCAAACCTTGTGGGGAGAGGAAGGGGATGGAGGTGGGCAAGCACAGGGGGCTTCATGCAGGGGACACGCTGGTGGCCACAAGGGAAAGGTGCTGAACTGCTGCTCTTGCATGTGGCTTTGGTGAGCACGTACAGAGTGAGGGGTGAGGAAGGGATGCAGGTGTTCACCCACCCATTCCTGCCCCATGGCCCAGAGCGGGGTCAGCAATGGAAGCCCAAAAGCTTTGCTGCTGCTGCTGCTCGTACCTGTGGTGAAGGAGGAGAAGAGCCTGGTGTTGCCCTGAGCAAGGGAGGTGTAGCTGACCCAGCTGAGATAGAGCACCACGGGCGTCCACACCATGAACACCACGTACCTATGGGGCAGGAGGAGCTGTCAGAGGGTGTCCTGCAGGCTGGTGAGCCATCCCCCTCCCAGGGCAGGCACCAGCCAGGGCACAGTGCAGAGCTCACCATGCTGTCTTGGAGAGGAACTCCAGGAAATCCGAGTGGAAGAGGCGGATGGGCCGATCCACTGGCTGGTGCACCCACTCGTCATACTTCTCCCCCAGGTAGCCCACCTGCCACAGCAGGGGCTTCTGCCAGTCCACCAGGTCCTGGGGGAGCACACAAGGGGTTGTGGTGCTGGGGAGCCCACAAACCATCCCAGCACCAGGCACAAAGCTGAGCTGCTGCTGCTGCTGCAGGATTCTGGGCTGCAAACCCCTCCCATGCCCCAAGAGCAGCTGTCTCTGGTTCCAAGGTGCCCTGAGCTCCCTACAAGCACCAGCACAGGGCAGACAAGGGGCCAAACACACCAAACACACATCAGCCCAGGGCTTAGCTCACCCCCGTGCCACCAGGTACCTGCCAGGGGATCAAGGTGAAGGTGGCTGTACCCAGACCTGGCTCAGCATCAGGCCCTGATAACTGAGGCTCTTTGCTGCCAAGATTAGATAGTGAGCAGTGATATGGCCCAGCAGAACACCTCTGGTGCCACATGGATCCCATCCCCATGGCACTGCCCCAGCCAAGGACGTTTCTCCTTGTGCAAAGTACACATGGGGCAGCCACAGCTGTTTGGGCAGCCCAGTGAGGAGCAAACTGGGAAGGGATGGGGAGCAGGGACACAGGATGGGAACACAGACTCCAGCAGTGCTGCTGAGCACGGCTGAACTCAGGTGCAGGAGTAAAAAGGAACCTGTGTGGGTACACATGTTGGCATGGCATGAAAATTGGGAGGCACAACAGGCAGCACCACCTCTGCCACTGCTCAGCATCCCTGGACACATCTTCTGCTGGCCTGGCCAGATAAGGTGGATTCTTGGTCCCACCCCTGTGCCAGGACTGAAACCACGCTAGCCTGGCCAAGCCCTGGGCCTGCAGCTCTCCTTGGGCTGCTTGTGCCACACAGCACTGGCACAGCCATGTGGCACCTGGGGCTGTGCTGCCAGTGGTGGGGATGGCTCCATTCAGGGCATCCCAGGGCAAGGATCCAGGGTGGCTTTGGGCACTTTGGGGGCTCTGCTGCAGGCAGGGATGAACACAGTCACACAGGAGGGGAAACAACCCCAGCTGGTGCATGGGATAGGAGCAGAGCCATTCTCCACTGGGGGGAAAGTTAAAGCAAAAAGGTAACTTGGAAATGGACATTCTCTTTTAAAGGTGCTCAGTGATAAAATATTAATTTGGGGGGTGAAAGATGTTCTCCTGCTCTAAAAAAACTCCAACTTTCTACAAGATAAAAGCATGCTCACCAACCAGCTGGGACCATGCAAGATGTGGTGACCAGATGGTGCTGTGGAGGGCAGGGGCAGCCAAAGGCACCTTGGGGACAAGTCCCCACTGTTGTGGCATGCTTGGGAAGCAGCTGGCAGGGCAGGAAGCACCCTGCACACACAGGGATCACCCTGCCCAGCCTGGGGAATCCCTTCCTGCTCATTACGAGTGCTCAGGCAAGGGGAAAAAAAAGAAAATAAATAAAGTAATAAAATAAATTAAGCAAGCAAGAAATAAAAGCAAGCAAGGTGTGGCTTGGCAACACTTCCCTGTGGAAGGGCACAGCTGCTGTCAGAGAAAGGCATCTCTCCCATGCTGCTGCAATGGGAGCCTCCCAGCGGGGCCACGCCTGTGCAATAAAGCATGAGCAATGCCATCCCCAGCAGGAGAAAGGGCACAAGTGGCTGGGTCAGCTTGGCTCCCTCACGCCATCCCTCCCATGTGACAGCCCAGCAGAAACCCAGCCCTCACGCAGGGAAGGGGAGACCTGGTGTTTCCCAGGGGCACTCTGGCAAACAGTGTAGGAGAGACTCCAGAGCTCTTACCCTCTCCACAGGCACTGTTCTGTAGCAGAGATCTGTCTGCTCTGGAGTCTGGGCTGCTGCAGACACCTCCTTCTCATCCACTGTCTCAGAGAGGCTCTGGAAAGAGAGGGGAAACTCTGTGGTGAAGCACCAGCGGTGGATTCAGCTGGGATGGTGATGGTTGTAGCACTCAGGGGTATGGCCAGAGCAAGCTCCTGCCTGCTAAACAAATATGGGGAAAAATCTGGTGAATTTAAGTCAGTGAGTTCCTGCAGAGCAGGTTTCCTGAGGGAAGCAGCTGCTAGTGAGCTGCCCTGCCCTTCAGACTGAGCATTGTGGGCTCGGGGCTCTTTGGAAACCTCCTCTTGAGCCCAGTGTTTGGAATGCCCTGCCCATGGACAGGACAGCACGGCAGAGTGGCAATGCAGAAACTCTGGGCCCTGGGACAGCATTTTCCACTGCAAATGGGCAGTGCTATGGCAGAGGTCACCTTGGCACTGCCAGTAAAGCCTGGGGCATTGCTGGGTTACTGCTCCCTCCTCCCACCCCACTGATCTCCAAAAAACCCAGCTTGGCTTTTTGGTCCCTCAGAAAGCTGGGCTGGCAGACCTGGGGAGTGTGGTACAGCTGGTGCCACCACCCTTCTGTGGGCACAAGGGAAAACACACAGAAAGAGTGACCTTGTCCAGGGAAAAAGGCAAAGTGTCCTTCACAGGGTGACACTGGGCTGGCTGCCCTTGCCATGGGATATGAGGTGGGGTTTGGGCTGGCTGCCCTTGCCATGGGCTGTGGGATATGTGGGGGGTTTGGGCTGGCTGCCCTTGCCATGGGCTGTGGGATATGTGGGGGGTTTGGGCTGGCTGCCCTTGCCATGGGCTGTGGGATATGAGGGGGTACACTGGAGGGCACACTGAGGCACAGGGGATGCGGTGGTGGCAGGATGCAGACCCAGCTGCAGTCCCGCTGGCAGGGCGGGCTGAGGAACAGGAGGAACCTGCCTCGGCTGATGCTGGGAAGCAAACACGGTGCCAGCTGCCAGCGCAGCCTCCCTGCTGCAGCCGTGCCAGCCCCGGCGCCGGCCGTGGGGGCTCGCTGAGCCTGGGCCGTGCCCGTGCACACCTCGGGCCGGCCGTGCCCCCCGGCAGCAGCGCCGGCTGCCCTGCAGGACGTGCCGAGCATGCCTTTGTCCCGCTCTGCCGGCCCGGGTTACCCATTAACCCGGGCAGGGCACGGCGGGGCCGCAGCTCAGCCCTGCCCGATGCGGCTTCAGCTGTCCCGCTTCCAGACTGGGAGGATTTTCCCCCAGCTCCTCAGTGGATGCTCTCCCCACCGCTCTGACAGGGATGCACTGCCTTCCTATAGAGGGGAATACTGCCCTGGCAGCTGCAGGAGGGCCTGGGATGCAGGAAAACTGGTGTCACCCTGCCAGGATGTCAGGACTTAACTGGGGACACCGAGGCAGGGCTCAGGCACTGTTTACCCACGGCAGGCACTCCTTGCAAGATGTGCTCCCACCCCATTTCTCGGGCTAGCCGGATAAAAAGCCTCATTCTGCCGGTACAGGAACTGCATTACCCAGCTCTGAGGCAACCCCTTGCCTGGGGCAGCGGGCATGGGAGGACAGGGGATATTTCCAAACAGTATTTCCAGGCTGGAATCCCACTGGCATCAATTTTACTGCAGGCAGACCACCAATATGAGATGATGCTATGTACCACCACACCTCTCTGTGAGGATTCCCACTGCTATTTTCCATGCTGCACACTCTGTCCTTCAGCCAGATATTAAAAAACCCTAGGTCAGATGGGATGTCTTAAAATCCAGCAAAGCATGGTGGATTTATGGTTTTGCCTCTGCCCTGCAGGTGCTTTGGAAGAAAATTTGACTTTAAGAGAGTGAAATGGCTTGAACGGGCTGGGGCTCTCCACCTTCAGCTTGCACCACAGCCCAGGCAGCAGCAGGAAGGATGCTTAGGAAAGCTGGGCTGACGCAATGCCCGGCACCTCTCCTCCCTTTTCCGAAATGTTCACACACCTCCAGTTCCCCTGCCCATGGATGCCTGAGCACCGTGTCATGCCTGGAGGCTTCCTGGTCCTCCCAGGTCAGGGAGATGGACTGGGGGCTCACATCCCACCTCACCACCAGCACCTGGGCTGGTTACCATCAGTGACATGCCACTGCCCTGTGGGCTATGGCAGCTCCCTGTCAGCACCTGAATCATCTCCTACCCCTCCTCTTCCTCAGCTGGGGAGCAGGAGGAAGGCTCTCCTCTTGCTCACCCTGGAGCTGGCACTGAAAGGACTGGAGCTGTGTCGCAACCAGGACACAAACCACGCTGGCATGTCCCAGCTGGCTCCCCAAAGGGTGGCCTGTTCCTGCCTGCCCCAGGCACGCAGGGGCCCTGCTGAGATCCAGCCCCATGGCACCTGAACCACTGCTGGGGCTTCTGCCTGTTCTGCTCCAAGCAGGTGGGCTGGGAGGAGGCCCAAGGGCTGTGCTGAGCTGGGCTCTGCTGTCACCTGTGGGTGGTGAGGATGCACCTGAGCTGTCCCCAGGCAAACAGATCCTGCCAGGGAAGATGAACAAGGGACCTGACGTAAGGAAGGGAAAGTTAACGCCCACAAGGCACCGCAGCTGTGAGTGAGCAGCAGTCCTGGTGAGTGCTGCTGGTACACACAGGGCCAAACACCCAGGGCATGGCACGATCCAGCGACTGGGTGACCCAGCATCCACCTGAGAGCATCTGGCTGCCCTGCGTGGGTCACACAGGGCGCTCTGCACTGGTCCTGCACCAGCTGGAGAGCACGGGCTGTGCCAGCCCAGTGCTGCCCTGCATCAGGGCTTGGGGCATTAAAAGAACAAAATCCAGCTGTAATGTGGGCTACAGACAGAAGGGGTGACCCAGCACAGGGTTCAGTGTTCTTGGGACACAGGCAGAGAAGCTGGAAAGCCCCCCCTGGCCCAGACAGGGCAATGCTGCCTGCAGACAGCTGTTCTGCCAAAAGCCTGGACCCAGGGGGATTTTCCACCCGTTTTCCCAGTGAGTCAAACCCCAGAGGAGTCCTACCATACCTTGCATTGCTCCACAGCCTCCAGCACCTTCACTGAGCTCCTCAGAAGCTGTTTGCTGGTGTCCACATGGGACAAGCTCTGTGGGCAGTGCAGGTACAGCACTGTAGCATGAGGACACCCCCGGAGGTGCAGAGGGCACCGAGCAAGGTGGGGGCACCATCCCACAGCACCGGAGTCTGTGTTCTCTGGCTGTGTCCTGGCCCATTAAACACTGGGTGCAGCAGGACTATTAAAAGGAGGTGAATTGAACTGCTAATCATAGCAGCAATATAAAAAGTGACTTCTTGTTACATCAGCCCCAAAGAGGTGCCCCAGGTGTCCCGCCCACATCCCAACGTGCTCGGGCTGGGATGCAAAGCCAGGGTAGGTGCAAGGCAAGGTGCAGCAATACAGGCAAGAGGAAGAGAAGGATAGTAAACCTGAGAAGGATGGAAGATTTACTGTGAGTCACAGCCACGTCATGCACCCCAAAGAGGCTGTGATGAAAGTCCCTCATTGCTCAAACTGGAAGGGTAATTAGATGATCCAGCTCCCTTCTAGCGAGGCTGTTAAAATCCACTGTCTAGTTTAGGTAATTATTGGTATTTACTTTGATCTCCCCTATATGTCCTGCTTGCATAGATAAAATATTTAGGGATTAATTTGTCCTTAGCCAAAAGGATTTGGGTGATGCAGAAAAGTGACCTGTGGCCAAAGGAGAGAGCCACAGGAAGGGGCATGGAGAGGCCAGATCCAGTGGAATGAAGGCTGGATCTTGTCTTCTTTTTCTCTCCTGCATTAACACATTTTCCCCCCTTTGCAAAATCCTGGAAATTCCTGTGGGAAGCAGGGGAGGATGCTGGATGCCTGTGGGACCAGAGCATTCTGAATCTCTCAGCATGGGGATGATGCAGCCCTGGCACATCCAACGGGCAAGGAGAGGCACTGGCAAAGCTGTGGAGATCTGGAATCAAACTGGGGTAATGTAACACTTCCTCCAAAGAGCTCTTTGGGCTACACCTGCCCCAAAGCACCCAAAGCATGAACCCAAGCACCAACAAGGTCACCACCTCTCCCCAGAGAGGATTTTTGGGGGGTGGGGAGTAGGGCAGGGCAGCTCACACCTCAGCGCTTGCTGGATGCAGCCTCACCATGCAGCAGGCAGCTCTAATCCCTGCCCTGCGTGTTCCAGGCTGGGATGGTTTATCTGGCACCAGGCAGTGTCAGATCTCCCTGCAGCCTGCGTTATCATGCCATGTATTTGCATTGGGATGGTGGCAGCTCCCCTCGGCACGGGAACCCGTTTGTCCGGTACCTTCCTACCCCAGCCCGCTGGGCTCGTCACGCCTGCGAGGAGGCGGCGGCTCGGCGAGTGTCCCAACAGAGGAGGTGCCACGGCCGGGACCGTGCGGGGAAAGGGCAGGCGTTCCACCGGGGCTGAAACAAAGCCCCGTCTGTGGCGCTGGGGCCGGGGCTGGCCCTGGGCAGGACAGCAGCGAGAGCAAACAAGCAGCCAGAGGGACCGGCCGGTCACCGACCCCGCTGGGATGCCGAGAGAGGAACTGCGAGCTGGAGAAGGGGGCTGGGCTGGCTCTGCTGCTCAGCATCCTGCCCACGGCCGCTGGTGAGGGCTGGAAACTGCGCAGGAGTGCCCAGGGCCACCCGGAGGCTGCGGAACTTCCCTTCCACCTGGGCAGCGCGGGACTGGCACGGCGGGGACAGAGCTGTGTCCCGTGCCCCACACCCGGCAGGGAGGGACGTGGCTGGGCTCCTCTCTCAGCAGTGCCTGCTCACCACTGGACACCCCTGTGCCCAGCACCGTGGTCCCCGGTTGAGTGCTGACAGGGCCAGGAAGGGTGTCCTGTCCCAGTGCCCACTCCGTGCCAAAACTGACACTGAGCTCCATCTCCTGCATCCCTCCAAAGTCCCCAACACCTCCATGCCACATTGGCACCCCAGATCCACCCATCAGCCCGGCTTCCTAGCATGGCAGGAAGGGAGGTGGCCGTGGAGGGGGACCCTGCAGGTACCCAGCTCTGTGCACTTGGCACCCTCAGGGTCCCCTGCACCTCAGAGCCAGAGAACTCCTGGGAGCCAGGAGGCACACGGCA